TCGCCTGCAAAGCGTTATGTGTGTGTGTCTGTGGGATTATAAAATTATACTTATTGTTAGTTGTCATACTGTTCCCTAATATCTTAAGGTGGCTTCAATTTTTACTATGTAATGTTAAATGCTATACTTGCTAATAAAACCAGACAAAAAAATCTCCAAAAAACAATTCAATTCGTGTATAAAATTGCAAAATAGCTGAACAGCTTTTCTTTTATTGATGTCAATAAACAACCACTAATACATTTACAGATATAATAAGTATTTCTGATAAAGTGTATTTACATACTATGTCGTTTTTTCTGGAGAAATAATTTGATAAAAATAAATCTTCTGATAATAACTGTGTTTCTGAAAGTTTAAAATGAATGATTGATCTGCAAATAAACAAATTTATAATTTTGTTAGACAGCAGTGTTCGAGATAAAATCGTTTACAGAAAAGCAACTCTTTTTAAAAATAGTTTGCTACGTAATTATTTTTTCAGCACATATAACACAAAACGTCGAGTAATGTGCCATAAAATGTCTAATTCTTATGCAAAAGAAGAAACAGGAGAAAAAAAGTCCTTTCACAAACCACATCGTAACGTTTGAGAAGATAAATCTTTCCTATTCAAATCTAATATTACAGCAGTTTATTACAGACACGAAGTGAAACAATCGTTTTTAGTTTGGTCACACCTTTTGTCATTGTAATTACTGTGAAAGAGTTGTGCACATTTGTTTGAAGAAGCGATCAGTAAGAGAAATTATAACCTATCTATATGATACTTTTCACCTTGTACTACTATAACTGGTTCAGTCGATGTGATGTTATCCTTGACCATGTTTATTATCCTCTATAGCATTTTTTTCTTACGTTATATATATGCACACATATATAATAGCTTTCAAACTATTGATTACTTTAATTGTTAATAGGTGATTAAATCAGCACTATAAAAGAATAATGAATTAAATATCGCATTACCGGTCCAGTTTGTCAACTTATTGTAATAGCGGATAATGTCTGTGGTAATACCACTCAAATGCTTTGGGGATATTCCATCTATCAGACAAAATCCAAACGCTGATGTTAATCTAGTCAGTCGCCATGGCTAATCGATTATATATGTACGAAAATCAAATAAGTGTACGAAGCTGAGTGCTTACACTCACAACATCTCAGCTTCTGCTGCCTTTCACTGGCTATAGCCAGTTGTGTGAAGGCAGTTATCCTAAAATTTCTTGAAGTAGAAATTAAATCACCCTAACATTTATACTAATTAAGTTTCCACATTTTGTTGCCGTCTGAGCTGGCAAATGGGGCTTTATATTTAGAATTTACACAATATACTCCAAACTGAGAAAACTAAAAAAACGAGGATATTATGTAAGTAAAAGAAAATTAGAATATTCTCAATTGCATAAGTATTCAACCCCTTTGCTACGGCAATCTTAAGTCAGTTCAGGTGCAAAGGATTAATTTGAAATGTCACAAAATTAGTGTAATGGTCTCTGTATGTGTGTAATTAAAGTGGTTTAACTTGACTTCAGAGTAAATTCATTTGTTCAAGCTACAACTCACATAGTGATACGACAAACCAACCATAAAGACCAAGCAGCTTTCCAAACAAGTCAGGGATAAAGTGGTAGAGAAGCACAGATTTGGAGAAGGTTACAAGAAAATTTCAAAGTCATTGATTAACCTTTGAGTACGGTGAAGTCCACCATTAAGAAGTGGAATGTGCTTCATACCATCCAGTCACTACCTAGATCAGACCGCCCTTCCAAACTAATCAGACGTGCAGTCAACAGTGACTTTGAAAGATTTGCAAAGTTCCATGTTTGGAATGGGAGTCAGTGTTCATATATCGATATCCCGGTCCGTACACAAAGCTGGCCTATATGGGATGGTGGCAAGAAAGAAGCCATTACTGAAAAAGAATCATCTTAAATCTCGTATGGAGTTTGCAACAAAGTACGTAAATGATACTGTAGAGGTGTGGCAGAAGGTTTTGTGGTCAGACTAGAAGAAAATCGAGATTTTTGGTCTAAATTCAAAGTGTTACGTTTGACGAAAACCCAACACAGCACATCAACCAGGCAATACCATCCCAACTATCAAGTATGGTGGTGGAAACATGTTATGGGGATGCTTCTCATCAGCAGGAAATCTTGTCAGGATTGAGGGGAAATAGGTGGGGCAAAGTACAGGCGAATCCTAGAGGAAAAACCTACTTGAGTCAGCCAATAATCTAAAACTGCGTGGAAAATTCGCACTTCAGCAGGACAATGACCCGAAGCACAAGGCAAAAGCCACAGTGGAGTGGTTTCAAAAGAAGGAAATAAATGTCTTAGAGTGACCCAGTCCAAGTCCTGACTTGAATCTAATAGAAAATGTGTGGCGAGACTTGGAAATTGAAACCAATAAACGATCCCCAACGAACTTATCAGAATTGAAAAAATTTTACCAGGAAGAATGAGCACATATTACACCATCCCATTGTCAAATTTGGTAGAGACCTATTCAAAAAGACTGATAGCAATAATTGCTGTTGAAGGTGCTTCCACCAAGTACTGGCTTAGGGGCTGAATACTTATGAAATCAGAAAATTTCAATTTATATATTTTCTTTGCAGTTTGATCATTAGAGTTTTGAATAATAACAAGTTCATTAAAAAATGTTTACATTATTTGTATTTCGTCAAAATGTAACATTATTGATAGGGGGTGAATACTTTTGTAACGCACTATACAACTGATGTTAATACAAGCCATTCTTCAAAATTGTTGAAGTAAATCACAAATATTATCTCACAGTAATTAAAATGTTAATCATAACACAGATACAGAAATACTCTAAACACACATCATTATGCGTTGATGTTTTCTTAGGCAAGAATTCCAGCGTTGAAGGATCTTACTTTCATCCTTATGTTCAGACTCTCTTTCAAATGTTTCATCCGAGCAATAGCGTATTTGCGCCATCTCGTGACAACAATATGAAACTCTAAATAATTATGAGCGTTTTCTGATTTCAGGAAGGACTCGATATAGAACCTGACACGTCACCGTATTTAGGCAAGAGAAGAAACTAAAACATAATCCATGTTTTTATTTTGTTTATTTGCTTTTACTAGTAAATCTTGAATCTTCTTTTAGAGTTTAACAGTTTCACCCAGACTTAAACATTATAAAATCCATTTGTTAATTGTATTCCCCTTTAAAATTAGAAGTGAAAATTACCTTTATAGTAGTTTAGTTCTTTATTATGCATTATCGAAAAATAATTGGAAAGTAAAAGGTAGAATGTGTTTACAATTAAAATTGGTCACTTTAAGGAATAATAGATTGGGTGTTTTAACCTTTATAAGTAAATCATTACATCGTCACTTCCCCAAATCTCTTCCAAATCAATCATTCCACCAAGTGTCATTACACTGACTAAGATAACTACAGGTACACAGATCAAAGTATATCGTTTAAATTTTAGCTGTTTAACATAACAAAATACTACTTCTTTGCTATTTTAATTTATCGATAAACTCCCATCTGTCTTACCAAGTTGTTGCTAGTCATGAAAGAAGGATGGTCTGATGCTACAAGTGTTCTCTTTCTGTGGTTCCTTAGCTAGTTTTAGTAATCTTTATCACATCATTATTGTTTCTAAAAGTTGGAAATCTATCTTTTCATCTTCCAGTTTTTTTCATTGGTTGGCTGTTTCTAAACAGGTAAGCCCTGCAATTTTTTTCTGTTCCAATTGCTGGAGAATATATCATCCAACTCACGATTGATTTAAAACACCTTGATACATTTATACTAACTTTCTAAGTTAAACTGTTGTGGAGTGCGTGAGCCTTTTAGAAAATTAAAAAATTTACTCAGTTTCTCCATAAGTTTTTAGTGTATTATAATTCCGACAAGAAAATCTTCAGTAGTTTTTTGATGAGCTGAACAATAAATAGGACTTGCAGCGGGAAGAAATTTGTTTATGACGTCTGTATAAAGTGAACATTTAAAACATAGAAACAACGTACTTCCGCTTCTGTTTACTTGATCTGTATTTGATTAAAGTATTTTCTTTTCTTTCAGATCCCAAATGATTTCCCTACGTGAGGATATTATCAAGATTATTTGACAATTTTATATCATTTTATTATGATAGTAAAAAAAAGGCATTCTGCCAACTAAATTTAAATATTTTTGTCGGAAATATTTTATTATATTGAGATAGGCGTATTTGTCATGATTTCGTGCAGCCTTAAAATCAAAATAAACACAACAATAACCCATTATACTCTTCTACATGAACATGTACATTAGAATGTAATCACATATAATTTATTCAGACCGTATCTATTTCCTAATAGAATCTAAATTAGAATAGGTTAACACATTTTCTGGGATCTCGGCCAAACAGGATACATTGGTTTCAAAACAGATAACATGAGTTTAAGTTATCTTTTCATTTCTCCCTATGGGCGGATAATACTCATTATAAACCCAACTATCGTACAAGTTTTAAAACAGTGTCGTACGAGTTATTTTCAATGTTTTCAATAAAACTTCCAGAGAATGACATTTCTTAGTTTAAGAGAGAAAATTTGGGTTGGTAATACAAGATAAAACTATTTCGATTCGATGTGAGTTTTCTTTCATAAGGTTGTAGCATAAAAATGAAAATAATACATTTATCTAACATTGTATTAAATATCTTGCTACTCTCTGCTTTCTTTCTTAACGTTACAGAGATAAACAAAGAGAGCGTTTGTTATTAAGGCAATATCACTAGACATTCTATTTCCTTTCATAATGTTATGGAGATAAACAAAGAAATAATGTGTTATCTGATATAATGTTAAAGAACATACTACCCTGACTTTCTTTCCATAACGTGACTGAATAAATAAGGGCACATTGACATGTCTGTTGTGTATAACGTCGTAAAGTTTTGTCCAAAACGTTAAAAACGGGTACAAAGTAGAATTATATTACCAGATATGGGCCAATATAACACAGTTTGTGTGACATAGTATCAACGTCTTTATTGCATTGGGTTTCTTTCCATAATGTTACGGAGGTTGACAATGGCATAAAGTGCTTTCCAACTTAATATCAGCGTTTGTTCTACAGAAAGTGCAATTGAAGATTACAATAAACTTCGAATATTAACAATAATAATAATATGCGTAGAATAACGTCATTGTTGACGATACCAATAGAATTCTTGAAGCCACAAGGATCGAGAGTTGTAGTCCATCTTATTTTGATGACCAAGAAGCCAAAGTAGCTGAAGACTGTAAAGAAAGAAGAGGTTGTTTGTTGATTAGGTGTTATATTTATGTTCTTTGTGCATATTTCAAACAATTAAACTAAAAACGAAGAAATACACTAATTGAATATGGTATTTAATTTCTTAAATTAAACCCCGATAAAGTATTCTAAATATGCTTCTTAGCCTCTGTGCAGGATATCATAAGTACGGGTTTTAAAATCATCAATGCATTATATGATTTGTTATATATATAATCTATAAAGAATCAAAACTGACATGAAAGCAGATATTCTTAATTTTGTGAACTTATAAGAGAGAGAGAGAGATAGATAGAAACACTGAAGTTCTTCAAATCAATTTCAGGCAACGTAAGTGCAGTGGTTTATTGTATTATTAAGTAGGAAGAACCCGTGTCTATCAAGATGGGGAAGTCATGATCAGTAACAACATTTAGATATATATTCAATGTGTTATTATCACGTCTAAAAAAAAAAGAAGTCAAAAGACCCAGCCCCTAAGGCATTACGTCATTTCCAGTAGCTTACACTGTCGGAACAACCCAAGCAGGGTCAATTGCATCAGTCGCTTTTTTTTTCTTCAAAATTTTACTTCAGCGTCGCTACAGAAAAGAATGAAATGTGACTCATGAATTGTTCACCGTTCACACTTTGCGCTTTAAAAAGCACTGAAGCGATGCTTTCCTATTTGCACCTGAGATAAACTGTTTTCGATGTGGTTGTCGGTTGCCATATGATAGCTTTTGTAATGCACCTTGCATGATGCAGATGGTGGAGTCGAATTCTTATAACTGTTGAATAAATTGGCCAAACAGTCCCTACGTCTGTTTCATATTATAAACGGGGTTTGTTTGTTTTTATCATCTCGGTTGATGTTCACAAGTCTTCCTAGATGAAGAAGTATTCCTTTTCGATAGCTGCTGCTGATAAACTCTGATGACAAATTATTTTAAACAATTTGACAAAAAGGTGGTATTTATTAACAATATTCCCATAAGACAAGAAACCATTTCATGCCTCTGAAAGTCGGAAACATTCTTGCTCTTATCCATTGTGTTGCAGAACTAATCGTGATATGGCTACATCCGGCTTTGTATGATTCAAGCAATCACCTAGCACATTAAACGATTCAAATATTATATATATATATGCGAATAAATGTAGTGTAGTATAAATGTGATAAATTAGTCAGGCAGTTACTATTGCATAAATACATAAAATAATTTTGTTGTCAAAGCATCGCGTAAATATAAACATATATTTTCTGTTAAGCACATACTCCACTGTAAATACATAAAACAACTTTAAGGTCACTAACTAGTTTTTCCTACAGTTTTTTTCTTTACTTACATACGGTATGTTTAGTATAATTGATAACTCAATACTTTTTTTACCATCCCACGAATATGTCTGCCGTCAGCAAATTCTACAGTTTATTTAAATATTTTTGTGACAAATTTTCGTCAATGAATCTTTAGCTGTGCATAAGCAGCAGCAGAAACAAATACTTTATTTTCATCGTCAAGCTACTTGAATGAAACATTTTATAACCTTAAAGATCTTAAAATGTCAACAAAATCCAGGAAGACGTTCCTTTTTAACGAAAATGTAAGTTATGTTTAATCTTTAGTACAGGCTCTAGTATATTTTCTTTGGGTAAATCTCCTTACAATATTGAAAAGCGGGAAATGTATCTAGTAATAACCAATCAACATATTTTAAAGACACTTATAATAGATAAAAACGTAACTTTTGATTTAAGATTTTCCTTTACAACTAGTAAATCCTTAAAAAAGAAACAGTGTCACTCATTTTAGAACTGGTCAAAAAATTCCAATAAACAATTAAATTTTCTTATTTTACATATTATTTCTAATTAGCATATTTCAAATGAGGACTACTTATACGAAACGAGGACAACCGAGTAATGACTGATTATTAAAAATCCTGTGTTGTGTAACATGAAAGGAAAGCGTTCAGTTGTTAATTCCAATGTGAACAAATAAAATCTTACAAGTTAACAACACAACAGGATCAAACTTATTGTCTGTTAGTTTACAATCAAAACAAATATTGTGTATTCATGCAAATGTATAAAAAAAGATTGCCCATAAGGTAAATTATGTTCATCAAAATGTATATCAGCGTCATATCCCAAGGCTTACCTGGAAGGATTATTAGCGAAGATTTGTTATTGTGTTTTTTCTCTGGCACGCAGAGAATTTGCTTGTTGGAGTTTTCTCTTGTGATATATATTATATTATTAATATATTAAATATTACTAGAAAATTCAAATATATTTTATACTTGGAAACTGAGTGCGTCTTTTTACCAGGCTGTGTAAGAAACAATGACTTTTAAATAATGTAATAAATAGTTAACTTAGCATACTCAGTTACTTTGACAATTTTATAAAACGATTAATTTTCGCCCGTGGCTTAAGATGCCAATTTCAACTTGACTTAAATACTTCAAAAAGGTCAAATCTTATTACTTATTTTTGGATTATGGTTGATAATATCGTTAAAGGTAGTTTGCCATAATAGCAATTTAAATCATAATGTGGTTTCAGTATTACCTTGTTTACATTGTAAGTAATAGTGTGATCGTATGTATTGTAGGCTTTAGCTTTACTAATTAGGAACGGACTTAATTTGATGTAGTTAGCTTTATGAATTATCTTGATTAAAATATTAATAATCTTATATTCCTGTTTCTTTCAATAATTGAAGGCATTTTACGTCCGTGTTTACTTTATCGTTAATTATATTTTGTGGAGAGAATCACTCTACTTTAACCCCTTAATAAACAATTAGCTTTAACATATTGCTTGCATTCAACCATCGGTAGAGCGAGTAGTCATCCTGGAGTAGAAGAAGATGTATAAAAATATTACAATATCTATGAATATTTGTCTTCTATTGTGGCAATAGGTTTCTCCGCAAAGAATATAGGTCGCATTTTTAGTTGTCAGTTTTGATACTAAATAGTCCACATTGCACCTGAACTGTTCCACTTAGTAGCTGTATGAATTTTTGAGCAGGATGCCTAATTTCAACATGTTAAAAAATAAAATAACAAATCTAACAAGTATACAAGCTAAGAAGAGGTGATTATCACGGTAATAACCGTCCCTGCACGTCACAGGTAAAGAGTGCAGCTAGAAGCTGTGTATAGCAAGGCTGTTCTGTTCCAAAAGCCAGGCCCACCTTTCGCTATATACACTCAAAAAATTCAATTATATTCTCCTATAAAGGACTGGGAACTGCTATTTTCACAATTCAGCGCTATGAAAGAGTGAAGATATTAATTTTAGCTGGTGTGGTTTGCTGAAGAAGGGAAGCTAATACCACGCCTTTCTGCTAGTAATTATACGTTACAATACGTTTTCATGTCCTGAGCTTTTCCGTTTCCCAAGTCTGTTTGGAAAATCTATTCAAATGTACTTCACTGTGAGAACATTAACACAATGAGGAACTGTTACCCTGCCAGCGTCGAAAACTACTATTAAGATAATTACAATAGACCACTGTGAGAATTAGCTATAGTAAACCACGTGCTTTTCTTGTTGCTTAAGTACCAATCACATGCCACTTTATAGGCGTGGCTAAGTACATACAATAGAGTGATTGGCTAAAATATTATTGCCTTCTGCCTACAAACATATATTAGAATATTTTTGATTTGCGTCTATCTTAAACTGAACTAAAAAGGAACGTAATTAAAATGAAATTAGAAAGTTCTTACTTGAAAATATGTCGTCCTGTAAGGATCCCCAATTTCTGTTTACCGGAATCTTTACACGCACATCTAAATGTATGTTATGAAAGCGCATAGGCGTTAAGTATAAATATATATTTGAAATTATCATATTGTGTAATAATAGGTATTATACATAACGAAGAAAGTCGTAATAAACAGCATAATAAAATTCTGATTTCACATTACATATTATTACATTACATTACCGTCAAACAAGTAACAAATATGAAACGGGTCAAACCAGCATTAGCAAAAGTTCTCAAACAAATGTAAATATAAAGCAGACCACAACCATTGTTGTATTAACATGCCTAAAAAATTATACACTGAAAAACAAAAATGCATAACGTAAAGCTATAAGACAAGAATAGGGAACTCATATTTTAATCTAAAAGATGTATGTGTCATAAGATGAGTAGATGTAAATTTAAATATTAAGCACTAAAAAAAGTATGTTTAAAAATCGTGTACCATACGAACACGGTACTTAATACTTGTCAACATTAAGCACTATGGTTATTTTAAGTCCAAAATAATTTAATTTTATATTTATCATTATCTGATAATGTTGAAAGCAAAAAGTCTTTATACATTATTCATATATTGAGGCAAGTATTAGGAAATCATATTATACTATCTGACATAGAAAACTACCGGGTAATATAAGCAATTAGTGTAAATAACAGGGTCTTCCATATTATATATAACTGACATAAAATACGACGATAATTAATCCATATCATATTAAACTGTTTAAAGTAAATTGTCTGGGTGTAATAGTGATAACTCTAACATAAGCAACCTGGGCGTAATATCAACAACTAGCCCAAATAAAAATGGATTTCTTGTAACAACGAACTGTCTGACATAAAAACATCGAATTAATATCATTAATATGTGCTTTGTAAAGAAAGAAGGTACTCCATATCACGCCTAAGTGTTTCATAGATGGGTTAATATGAACTGCGATGTTGTAAAGAAAGAAGGTACTCCATATCATATCTAAGTGTATCATGATCAGGTTAATATAAACTGTGACATGTGATAAAGAAAGAAGGTACTCCATATCATATCTAAGTGTATCATGATCAGGTTAATATAAACTGTGACATATGATAAAGAAAGAAGGTACTCCAAATCATATCTAAGTGTATCATGATCGGGTTAATATCAAGTATGATATTAAAGTATAATATCAAATAGTGTAGATATAAAAGGGTATTTCATATCATGCATAAGGGGGTGATCATTAATATCAACTGTGATATTGTTAAAAAAGAAGGTACTTCATATCATGCCTAAGTGTATCATAACCATGTAAATATCTACTGTGATAGTGTAAAGAAAGAGGGCACTCCATATAACACTCAAATGTTTGATCGTCAGGTTAATATCAAATGTGCTAATGTAAAGAAAGAAGTACTTCATATCATAACTAAGTGTATCATCATCGGATTAATACAAACATTTTGTAAATAACAAGATATTCCTGAAAATTCTCAACTCTAATATAAAAACATCTTGCTAATATCAACTTTACTAGTAGAAAGAAAATAGGTATTCCCTATAACACCTCATTGAATGAGATAAAAATAATGCAGTAATATACATTATATTAACGTAACGTAGAAGGTACAACATATCATATTTAACTGTTTTATATAAAGACATCAGGTTAATATCAAAAATATTAGTGTAACAGATAAGGCATTCTATGTCATACTGAACTGTTGATCTGACAAAAAATAAACCAAAAAAAGTGATAATATCAAAGTGTAGTGTTGGGAACAAGATAGTCCAATATCATACTGAACTGTCCGACATTGGTTTAGTATTAACAGTCAGTGTAAACAATAAGGAATTTATATGATATTGTTCTGTTAAGCTAACAAAACAGAAAGATATGCGTATAATATGAACAAGAACTAGCAGAACCAATACAAGTAAAATGGAATATATCTGAAAACAAGCACTAACACAAGTCACGTTCAATTGTCTAGCAGTAAACAATGGTAGAATATCAAAATTATTTGTTAAAACAGTCTGAACTTATTAGCATAAAAATGCTTTAATATCAACATTCCAAGTTGATTGGAAATTGTTCTTTAAGTTCCACATCTACCCTTGGTTCTATGGTATTGCTAGAATACAACATCTTAACATCGATATAAATCTGTAGCATAGGTAATTAAGGAAAACAACTACGTGACATTATAATAAATTATATATATTCTATGAAATAATTCAAACGACGAAATAATTAACGTGACTTTGTTTAATCAGTAAACTTACCAGATAATAGAATAAATAACGATACCTTGATGTTTTGTCTGGAAAAACGCTTTGATAGAGGTTTTAGATAAACGGACGGCAGATTGTTTGAGTTTTTCGTGCTAGGTGAAAGTGTGGTATTCTCAATTCTCAGTCTAGTCTTTGTTTTTAGTGCAACATGAATTACACTATTTTGCACCTTATTTAAAAAACAATAACAACCATTTGTTTGATATATTTAACAACAAAAATTACATTTTCTTCAACACAGCTATAGATTATTGTTACCTCCTGAGGCTCCGAAATGAAAGCCCCCTTCCTAACCTGGGGCTAACAAGACATAAAGGAGAGATATATGTCATAGTTATTATAAAATAGGAGAGATATTTCAAGAGTTGATTAGCTGCGGGATATAGAAAGATATGATGAAATATAAAAAAAAAACAATTACCACAAACTGAATCTTTTAGAGTTTGTTTGTAAATTTGTAACTGTGATTTTATGTAGAAAATATTTTTGGGTCGTGTTCTGGATCAGGGAGAAATTCAAAGGCTGACACACCTGTTTCAGAAACGAATATTTTGCACAAATGTCATTTTAATTTCTTTATGAAATATCTTACTTTTATTATTGTACTTTTCAATTACACAGTAGAGAGTATAATTAAAGATTTTATTTTGAACATAGCACTATGTTTTTTTTTTATTTTCGGTACGTTAGAACAGAAGTAAATATAGGAGAAATTGAATAAGTCGAGTTCCTGCTCTGTAAACATAGAATATTCCACTTCCTAGCAGACTTCTTTATACTGTTAGCTATTTTGAAAACCACATAGCCTTACTTAACGAAGTGAAACATTTCCTTTAGAAGAAACTGAAGAATAAATGATAGTATTTTTAGTTATGAAGTGTGATATCCGTTTTCGGTTGACTGAATAAGAATAATATAGGCAATACGGATTTCCGTACACATGATTGGTAAAATAAATAAAAATAAAACCATGTGTATTGTTCACAAGTTTCCAACATATTAATGTATCATCTCATTGAAAATTCTAAAATGAATTTAGTAAACATTCAATACGACGTTTAAAAGATACAAAAAATAAAAAAAACTACTTTATTAATTTATTATATTAATTTTTAGCGTAACTGGAATACCAATTAAGGGATGACAGAAAGACAATTGTTACATTATGCCTATGTAAAAGAAAGGATGTATTAAGTAATAAGTACATTGTACCTTTCCAGTGTTATCACCGAAATGTATGCAATATAAAGTAATAATTGAAAAATAGAAAATATTGAAAAATGCAAACGCAAAATAGAGAAAAAAAGTTTGTAAAGGAATATGTGCTTATATTCGGATCAACGACGGCATTTGTACAAACACTGTTACAAAAAATGTCTTTTTCCGGCTTTAATTAATTATTTCGAAGATGGATAATGATTGTTGTATCGTAACCACCAGTTTCTTAAAGGTAGGTTGACCACCAGATCTAATAGTAGTACCTTAAAATATTTTTATTACAGACCTCTTAGTAGTGCCTTAAAATATTATATAATTACCATCAATATCATAACAATAACTTCAAACATGCCTATTATATATTAACCGCATGATCTCATAGCAGTATCTTGAAATATCACTGGCATAAGCTGACCTCCAGATCTCATGCAGTCTCTGTATATAACACTGTTATATGCTGACCTCCAGATCTCATGTAGTATCTGTATATATCACTGGCATAAGCTGACCTCCAGATCTCATGTAGTATCTGTATATATCACTGGCATAAGCTGACCTCCAGATCTCATGTAGTATCTGTATATAACACTGTTATATGCTGACTTCCAGATCTTTTGGCAGTACCTTTGGGTTTTAGTGAACGCTCCTGAAGAAGCTGTTAAGCGAAACGTTGAGTGTCCAATTAAACAAAGATAACATTTAGGTGTTATAAGGTCGTTTATTTCTAGTATTAATATGCCTTCTATACACCAATATGTACTACAGAAATTAAATAATAAGTATTTTTACTTAGTTATTTAAAGAATGCTAGACTTTCAAGTAAGTCTTGAAAATGTATGACGTAAAATGATCCCTCTTTTTTTTTTTTTCACATAGACATTCATTGTTTGCTAGTTTTTCTAACATGCTTTGAAACAAAAGAATGTCTAGATCATTTTTCTTGTGGCAGTACATTCAGCTGCAGCATATGGGATCACTCGCTATTCTTTCATATTAATCTTTTGAATGTTCAAGAGTAGATAAGATCATTACAATTTAGAATAACCCAAGAGTTGGCGTTGAGTGGTTTTGATTAGCTTCCTTCCCTCTATACCGTAATTTCAGTATCAGGGTCGGTTGGGGGTGGTTCTGAGTGAAATTCAAAACAAATAAACATCTATTTAGTTGTAACATAAATTCTTCGTACTGACTTCTTAATTCTAAAGATGTTGTAAATCTAATATGACAATGTGTTCATTTTTCGGAAGTAGTGAGCAAGTCTGAATTTATAATCGATAATATAGTTTTATACTTCAAGAATTACCTCGTGTAAACAAAACTTCCATCGTTTGACTTCACTCACGGATTTATCGCTATATAGATCTGGATTTAATGACTGGGAAGTCATTTCAGAAAGAAAGAATCGCTGATCATGTAAACGGTCAAAGCTATCAATAAATAGTGCTCGTGTAACACGCCTTCATTTCTTCTTCTATTTCATGTTATATCCTTAAGTGCTCAAAGATTTATTCCTAACGCATCTTTTTCCA